AGTGAATATATAATGAGAGCTTTAATTGGTATGCCCGGAATTGTGGTTGGTGGGCACAATATAAACAATTTACGTTATGCTGATGACACAGTCTTGATAGCAACAAGTCAGAAAGAATTACAGGAAATGATAGACATTGTGGTGTTAGAAAGTGGAAGAATGGGCCTCAGTTTTAATAGTGGGAAGACATAAGTAATATTGGATTGGTATCAAAGAAACGAATTATTCCTAAGTGTGTAATAAAAGTTGGTGTTATTTTAGGACAAGTACAGAAATTTAAGTATCTGGGCACATGGATAACATCAGATGGAAGATGAATAACTGAAAAAAGAAACAGAATTGGACAGGCAAAAACTGCATTTTATAAAATGAAGAATATCGGCACTCTTCCGAATACCGGCCCCATATTATTCAAAGACAAAAAATCCCATTCAGGGCCTCAAGAGGTCGTTGTTAGGGACTTGAGAGGTCATGTAGTTAAAAATATAGAACAGGAACACTACAAACTATGCTTTCTTTTATTATATAATTTCGTTTGAACGAAATTACCGAGTCTTCGCTGGTATAGTTGATAAGCAGTCAGCTTGTTACGCCGGTGATCGGGGTTCGATTCTCTGGCGGGCAAAAACATTTTTCTTCAAAAGGGTGGTTTGCACGTTGTGTTGTGGTTAACAACTAGGCTGCGATATCTGCGCCTTTACTCGGTCTTGTGGTTAACAGCTAGGTTGCGATAGCGGTGGCAAATTTTTTTTTACTACTAGGCTGCGATATTTGCGCCCTTCGCTCGGTCTTGTGGTTAACAGCTAGGCTGCGATTGCGCCTTTCGCTCGGTCTTGTAGTTAACAGCTAAGCTGCGATAGCGCGCCTTTACTCGGCCTTGTGGTTAACAGCTAGGTTGCGATAGCGGCGGCAAATTTTTTTTTAACTTTTAAAAGGGTGGTTTAGACGTTTTGTAGTTACAACTAGGCTACGATATCTGCTTTGCTACAGCTACGATATCTGCTTCGCTAGTACAGTTGATAAGCAGTCTGCTTGTTACACCGGTGGTCGGGCTTTTCTTTAAAAGGGTGGTTTGCACGTTGTGTTGTGGTTACAACTAGGCTGCGATATTTGCACCCTTCGCTCGGTCTTGTGGTTAACAGCTAGGCTGCGATAGCGGGCGCGAAGTGCTAAATGGTCATGTCACGGGCAGCTAATCTCTTTTTTTTTGGTTCGCCCTTGAAATGGCGGTTGGCATAGTGTATTGTGGTTTACAAATACGCTGCTATATCTGCGCCTTTCGTGCTAGGTTGCGATATCTGCGCCTTTCGCCCCATCACATCTGATTTCAGCAGTCCTAATTAGTTGCCTTTTACAACATTCTTTTCAGGTGGCAGTGGATCAATTCTTTTTTTTTTTCTCCTTGGAACCCACAAAAAATGTCTTGTGTGTGACTTGTCGCTACTTGGAAGGGCATCAATACGTGGTTATTATTGTTACCGAAGTCGATTATTGGTTGGTTGTAATAGTCCCTGGTTAAACAGATACAGCCTAATAAAGACTCGTGAAATATATTGAGCTGACTGAGTATCCTCGGGAGAAGTGAAAAGGCGTTTATCGATATAGATATACCTTTGGTAAGATGATAAAAGATGAAGACTGCAGGTTACTTGTATATTGCTTAACTAATGTTTGCACCTACTTTCACTGTTTACATGCAGTAGTTCAAATATTTCCATTTTTGACATTTTTATTTTCGAAAAATGGTTAGATTTTCTTTTTTGGCATAGTATGAAAGTATAATAGAATCAATCAGGTCACATGCATCCGTAAATGTTCTACCCTGTTGTCCAAGTTCCGCCCTTGTGATTACGAGTATGTTGTAACATCACTAGACATCACTAGGTAGATTACGTGTATCACATTAATGTGCGAAATTCGCTTGCTTAGACAACTGGACCCGCTACCCTGTTTGAACTCTGGACATCAAAATTGTCGGCTGGTCTGAGAATGCCCGCTACGTCTCAACTCTAACCCGTGGTAATTAGCCACCTGCCTGTCGGCAAGTTCAGATGGTCGTCTTCTGTCCGTTCGACTAGAAGATTGCATAATTCTTCAACGTAGATGCGTTCCCTGGTCCAGCTGTTAAGCTAACGTTAAATTCCACTGAGATAAATTGTTGGTTGGTCAGACACTTTGATCGCTGCTAGGAAGATCGCTTGGGTTTGCTGTTCAGTTACCTCATTGTTTCACTTTGTAAAGGTTTCTGTTGGACTTGTGTACTTTTGTTGTTGCATTTAGAAGGAATTCTGTACTCACCGAATGCACCTCGTCACAGTCTCTTTGCGAATTTGTGCACTTGCGTAGATAATTATTGCTTATCGGCAAAAGTTGCGAATAAAGTGGAAATATTTCTTTGATAATTTGTGCAGCTACTTTTAATTATGGCAGGCAGACCATCGGCTCCAAAACAGATAAGCAATAATATTCTACAAGTTGATCAACTGGCAGCTGTAGTTGTCAGACCTGATGATTTATATAGAATAATGAACGATAAACTACAGTGGTTGCAATGGCTTGCTATGCACAGAATAATACGGAACTCAGTAGACTGTTCGTCTTGCAACCGTCGGATGTCATTAGTGTCAAGGCTAGAATGTTCCGATAGATTCTCTTGGCGATGTCGTCGCTGTAATACTCGTTGCAGTGTACGGACGGGTTCGTTCTTCGCTAATTGTGAACTCCCAACTGAAAGAATTGTGATGGTAATGTTTTACTGGTTGTTCGAAGTCAAGCAAAAAAATGTGATGTTTTTTTAGAGATTGACAAGCTGTGATACTATAGTCAACTATAACAATTATTTTTGGGTAGAGTGTTACAACTGGCTGCTGCTTAGCAACCCTCAGTTGGGAGGATTTGATGCTAACGGACAGTCAGTGGTTGTTGAAGTTGACGAGAGCTATTTTTTCCACCGCAAGTACCATCGTGGTTACTTTCGTCGTGGTCAATGGGTAGTTGGGCTAGTTGAATGTGGTAGTGGTCGTTGCTGGTTGGAAGTTGTTAATAGGCGAGATGCGACAACATTGGAACGCATCATAAGTGAGCATGTGTTACCAGGAACGACAATTGTCACCGATGCCTGGCGAGGCTACAACAACGTTGGTCAACTCAACAATGGCATATATGAACATCTCGTTGTTGTTCATGCTATTAATTTTGTTGACCATGTACACGGAGACATCCACGCCCAAACAATTGAAGGGCTGTGGATGCAAGTCAAAAGGAAACAGCATTTCCAAGGCGGCATTAGTCGTGCATTGTTTAATACATATTTAGCCGAATTTCAGTGGCGTCACAGTCACAAAGAACATGTTTTTGGACAGTATTTACAACTGCTGTGCCACAATTTCGACATATAACTGTCAAATATTATTGGCAGAGTTGCCACTTTTCTTTGACAGAAAGTGTATTGTATTTTTTTTCTGCATTTCCTTCTTTTCGTCTGTCATTTCATTTTCTCAGTGACCACACTAGCAGGTGGTACACACTTCATTGATACTGAACATCCTCTTGTGTTTAGATAAGTTGTAGCCAAGTATATCTTCTCTGCTATGTCGTTTCTACTACACATCTTGATATTTTTAAATCCATCAAAGTAGATATGATATTGTTGCAGGTATAACGCAGCGCTCTCTTCAATATACATCAAATGCATTAGATATTTAGAGAAACAGGCCAACAGTTTTTTTTCCTTCTGAAATCCTGATTTGGCTTCTTGTAATTTAATAATCTGATTGAATATACTTTGTGTATTATATATATATATTGTGTGTATCTTATTTATCTTTCTTATAAAAATTCCACTGTGTGGAGGGAGAAAAGGAGCGGGGTGGGGTGGGGGACACACACATGTTTCAGCGACTCAGTTATCATTTCACGGTGCTTAACGGCAGCAGTAAAAATTGATGATGATGATCTTAACGTTGCTACACTGATGATGATAATCTTAACGTTGCTACACTGATGATGATCTCAACGTTGCTACCCATCGACACAGCGCTCCGATGGATCGAAAATTATTCCTTCCCACGTCACTTCAGTCGATCGAAAACTATTTCTCCCCACGGCGCTTAACTTTAAACATTGCGCAGAAGTGAAAACTGATGATGATGGCTTCAATTATTATTTCGCGGCGCTTAACGGGAGAAGTGAAGACTGATGATGATGATCTTAACGTTGCTACCCATCGACACAGCGCTCCGATGGATCGAAAATTATTCCTCCCCACGTCACTTCAGTCGATCGAAAACTATTTCTCACAACGCTTAACGCGCAGATGTGGAAACTGATGATGATGGCCTCAATTATTTCACGGCATTATTGGTACGTATTGTTCCATATTTTGTTGTTCCATATTTTGTATAACCTCTTTATAACCCCTTGACCTCTTTGTAACCTCTTGAGGCTCTAAAAGGAATGTTTTGGACAGTTAATAATATGGGGCCGGTATTCGGAAGAGTGCCAGAATATCTTGTGCAATATATCCTTGTCATTGAGAGTTAGAAAAGGAATTCTTGCTTGCTATATACATCCAGTTTTATCATATGGCTGTGAATCCTGGAAAATCGGTAGGCAGGCTAAACAATTTCTGGAGGCCTCAGAGATGTGGTTTTACAGAACAATGCTTAGAATACCTTGGACAGCCAAAAAGAGCAACCAAGAGGTTTTGAAAGAGGCGGGAGCCCGAAGACAACTTATCACAGACATCAAAAGAAGACAGTCATCATTTTTCGGCCATGTTATGAGAAGAGGGAAAATAGAACATGTTGTGACCACTGGAAAGATCTGTGGAAGGAGAGATAGAGGAAGACAACGAGAGAAGATGCTTGACTGTCTTGTTGCATGGATGGCATGGAGGTGTGTCGGTATACGAACTGATACATGCTGCAAGAGATCGCAGATTATGGAGAGGCATGGTCGCCCACGCCAGTCGGCAAGGCCCCTGATGATGCTAGTCTTACCTGCATGTTCCAGGATCCTGGAGACGAACGAACTAGCCATGGCGAGAGATAGGAAATGTTGGCGGAGACACAGAAACCAGGAGACGACGAGCTCGGCTTGTTGAAGTTGTTGACGTCTGCGGCCACCATTTGTTGTCTCTAGTGGCCAGGCGCAAGTCGCAGAGTCGGCCAAACCTGGCGTTTTCCCGCCCGCGACAGCTCGCAGGTGCCGGTGGGTGCCTCCTCCACTTGGGTGCCGCCAGGAGCGCTACAACCTGGAAGGGGAGTGGGGGGAGGCTTACTCAGTTGAGCCTACTGCCTCTATGAGCACCCTCCTCCTTCTCTCTAAAGTTTTTCTTGTGTCAGATTCCCTACTACAAGTGTTACAAAATGTATTTTTAAAAAAAACAGCTACAAGCACGACACGTTCAGATCTACAAGTGCCACACACACAGACCTAGAGATGCCACATACATAGATCCACAAGTGAAACACACAGAGATCTAGAGACGCCACATACATAGATCCACAAGTGCCACACGCAGAGATCTACAGAGGCCACATACATATATCAAGTGTCACACACAGAGATCTACATAGGCCACATACATACATCCACAAGTACCACACGCAGAGATCTACAGAGGCCACATACATAGATCCAAAAGTGCCACACACAGAGATCTACAGAGGCCACATACATAGATCCACAAGTGCCACGCACAGAGATCTACACACATATAGATCCACAAGTGTTACATACAGATGTACCTTCCGTTCAAAAAGGACGCTAGGCACGGCAACGTTTGGAGCCGTGGCAAATTTTGTGCTTCTGCCAGACGGTGGCTGTTGCATTTTTGCTCTACGTGTAGACTGAAAGGATATAGTTTCATTGCCCAGCTTCTGAGTTGAGTGCATGGCGTTACACTGTGAGGTGCGGATTTCATTTAGAATGTTTTTCGACTGTGACCAACGTGGTGGTGTGAATTGTAGATTCAGAAAATGGCGCGATGCCTATTGTGGCAATATTGGTGGTGCCATTATGTAATTAAAATTGATCGCGTGTGCAACTACTGATCTGTTGGTGACTTCTGCTACCGTCAATGATGAACTGCATTTCTGATGTTGGACTGTTTGTGTTAGCACTTCGGATGGCTGCCGTATGCTTTTAATGCGCGTGCAAGCTAGATATGCTGAGGCAGCAGTCTGTCAATCTTTCCACAAGGGACTGTGATAAACATTCTGTGTGTTTTTCGTTGACACAGGAGCGGAGCAAAGATGGGGTGAAACTGAAACTAAGATTACCAGATTACAGAGATCTACAAAGGACATATAGATCTACAAGTGCTGCATAGATCAACAAGTGCTGCATACAGAAACTTACAGATGCTACTGACAGAGATTTACAAATATCACATATGGAGACCTTCAGATGCCATATATATATACAGAGATCTATAAGTATCACAAACAGAGACCTACAGACGTCACATATATAGAGATCTATAAGTATCACACACGGAGACCTACAGATGCCACATATATAGAGATCTATAAGTATCACACACGGAGACCTACAGATGCCACACATATTTAAAGATCTGTAAGTATCACACATTGAGACCTACAATTACAACGCATAGAGACCTACAGATGCCACACATAGAGACCTACAGATGTCACATATAGAGATTTACAAGTACCACAAATAAAACAAACGAACAAACTTCATTCTTAAAGCGTCTCAAGTTCGCACGCAGGCCCGCATTACATTTCGGTCATTGCAAACACCCATCTTTCATTCAGCAGTTGTACTTTATCAAAAATCTGAAGACATCATACAGGTGGAAGATGTAAAACATGTTCTGAAAAGGGCGAAAGATACTGCACCCGGGCACCACGGGGTTAGATATACCCACCTCCAAGACATGAATGATGCAGACCTGTTGCAGATGACTGCTTGTTTGCATGCGATACATCCTTGCATTGCCGACTATTGCAGATAGGCTAAAGGTGCTGCAGGCTAAGTCATACCTCAGAGTAACTGCAGGCAGAGATCTGTATGAAGCTTTGGCTGCAGGCAAGGGTCATAGCCTGAAAAGGCTTCCGTTCGTTCGTTCGTTGGTTCGTTCGTTCTCGCTCACCCCCTCCCTCTCCCTCTCCCCCTCCCTCTCTCTCACCCTCCCTCTCCCCCTCCCTCACCCCTCCCTCTCCCTCACCCCTCCCTCAACCCCTCCCTCTCTCTCACCCTCTCCCCCTCCCTCTCCCTCAACCCCTCCCTCTTCCTCACCCCCTCCCTCTCCCTCTCCCTCACCCCCTCCCTCTCTCTCACCCCCTCCCTCTCTCTCACCCCCTCCCTCTCTCTCACCCCCTCCCTCTCTCTCACCCCTCCCTCTCTCTCACCCCCTCCCTCTCTCTCACCCCCTCCCTCTCCCTCACCCCTCCCTCTCTCTCACCCCTCCCTCCCTCCCTCTCACCCCCTCCCTCTCCCTCACCCCCTCTCTCACCCCCTCCCCTCTCCCTCACCCCTCCCCCTCTCTCTCACCCCCTCCCTCTCTCTCACCCCCTCTCCCTCTCTCTCCCCCCCTCCCTCTCTCTCACCCCCCTCCCTCTCTCTCCCTCCCTCCTCCCCCTCCCTCTCTCCCCCCTCCCTCCCCCACCCCTCCCTCTCTCCTCACCCCCCCCTCCCTCTCTCCCTCCCCCCCCCCCTCTCCCTCACTCCCCTCTCTCACCCCCTCCCTCTCTCTTACCCCCTCCCTCTCCCTCACCCCTCCCTCTCTTACCCCCTCCTCTCCCTCACCCCCTCCTCTCCCTCACCCCCCTCCCTCTCCCTCACCCCCTCCCCCTCTCCCTCACCCCTCCCCTCCTCTCACCCCTCCCCTCTCCTCTCCCTCCCCCTCCCTCTCCCCCTCACCCCTCCCTCTCCCTCCCCCCTCCCTCTCTCTCACCCCTCCCTCTCCCTCACCCCCTCCCTCTCCCTCACCCCCTCCCTCTCTCTCACCCCTCCCTCACCCCTCCCTCTCTCTAGCCCCTCCCTCTCCTTCTCCCTCTCCCTCTCTCTCACCCCTCCCTCTCCCCCTCCCTCTCTCTCACCTCTCCCTCTCCCTCTCTCTCACCCCTCCCTCTCCCTCTCTCTCACCCCTCCCCTCCCTCTCCCTCTCTCTCCCCCCTCCCTCTCACTCTCCCTCTCCCTCTCCCTCTCTCTCACCCCTCCCTCTCCCCCTCCCTTAAAAAACACACACGCTATGTTCTGATATTATAATACATATTATGAATATAAAGCAAAAACACAAAAGCATAGATGGTAAATTGCATGCGCACACTCGCGCGGGCACACACATACACACGGGAACCCGCTCACTCCCACATACAGACATCATGATTTGTTTTGATTCAGGAACCGACATCACACCACTCGGGGCATTCCCATAAGCGCCCCGTCCCCATCTTCAGCAGCCAGCGAAGAGTTCCGATACTAATGGTGCCAGTAGCATTCTGATTAAACGTCCGTCTCGTCTTTCCTCTGAGCCTCGAGCATCTGCCAGAACCTCTCGTCACTCCCAACTGCATCAATCTCACCAGACTGGAGTGATCCATCTGCTCCCCGAACTGTACACGCTCTCCCACAAGGCACTAACTACGTCTGCCTTATCATGTACCAGTATTCCACCAAACTGTGTAGAGCCAGCCAGTCTGTCTGCCTGTTCATTTCCCAACATACTGGCATACCCTGGTACAAAAATCCAGACAATATTCCTCACCCGTGTCTTCCGCAGCGAGGTATGCCACTCTGCACTAAGTATGCCTGTCCTGATCTTCCTCAGCATGCTTTCTGAGTCAGTTACAATCACAATGTGTGTGTGTGTGTGTGTGTGTGTGTGTGTGTGTGTGTGTCGTGTTCTCTAGCCAGCGGAAAGCCGCAGTGACCGCCTCCACCTCCATTCTTAAGCTGGGTGTTGTGGTACCATTTGCTAGGCTCTCCTGCACCAAACGTAGACCATTAACTTTTGCTAAGAAACCCCAAGCATTTCTTTTGCCTCTTGACACTGAACCGTCTGTGTAAATGATCAAATATTCTGAACGAGCATTATCTTGAATCAACTGCTGAATTTCCACCTCTGTGGCACTTGCTGGCCAGTCTCTGCATTCCCAGCTCAGTGTAATTATGAATCTACACAAGTCTGACTGTTCAGATGGCACTTTGAATACAGACATCAGTTAGTTGCGTATTCTTTACGTTACAGAACCAACCCCAGCATTTGTTCACTGTTGTGGTTTTTAGGCACATTTTTACGTCCACTAGATACTGGGTCTAACACACAACCCCATAGAGGGTAACAAAACCTGTCACAGGCCGTCTCTTTTTCGGAAATAAAAACATATATGGAAGAAAATAACAGACTGCGACACCCATAACCTCGACCAAGGTAGGCTAGTCCAACCAACATCAATGGAGTTGATCTACAGCCAGTGGTGTGTAAATGGGGAGACCATCGTATAAATAACCCACACAGAGACATACACACACAGCCTCACACACACACATACTCGAAGACACACGTAGCAAAATACAGCGACACACACTGACCGATACACACACATTCAAAGACACACGCAGATACAGACACACACGCAGACACACACACCTACATACCCACAGACAGACAGACACACACAGACATGCACACAGATACACACACATACACGCATGCAGACACCACACACACAAACGTTTACAATTACCCATACAAACACTCCTTATTTCCCAGAATAATACACACACAAACACGCCTACACATGCAATCATGTACCACACAAAGAGTTCTAAAAGTACCACACACGGAGACCTACAGGTGTCACATACAGAGTTCTACGAGTACCACATACAAAGACCTATAGGTGTCACATCTAGAGTTCTAAAAGTACCACATACAAAGACCTATAGGTGTCACATCTAGAGTTCTACAAGTACCACACACGGAGACCTACAGGTGTCACATGTACAGACATACAAGTGCCACATTAAGAAATCCTAAAGTGCCTCTCATAGAGAACTAGAAA